TTTTTATTTTTATTTATTTTAATTATTTGTATTATTCACAAATAAATGCCAGGCAGAGTTGTGTTTGTGACATAAACCACATTTGTAAATATCTTTTTTTAATTTAAATCTGATTTTATTTATTTGTGAGTTTTAATTTTTTTTTTGTGAAACTCTTAATTTACATGTATTTTTGGATCTTAATCTATTTATTTGTGATTTTGATACATTGTTGTGAATCTTTTTACATTTGTTTGTGAATCTCGATCTATTTATTTGGAAAACTGCAGTTCTAACCCCATAAACCCCCTTAAACAACAACAACAACAACATAAAAAACAATCTCTGTGTGAAAACATCTGCACAAACTGCCACAAACAGACAACGTCTTGGAAAGCTTCTTGTTGGCTAATATCATGTTCTAAGGGTGACACCAAGTCAATAACTAAACAACCTTTTAACCCTTTAACCCCTTTCTTACAGTATAAACTACTGAATAAATATAGTGTTATATATATTTACTATAGTATTAAACTATTAAACTATAGTTTACTTCCTTAATACTTTTCGAAACCAAATGATGAACCGACACGGTAATTGTTATTTCACTCAAAAACAACTCAGCGAGTGTAGATGCATAATTTACATGGGCGGGTCCAACTGTACCGAAGAGGAAGCGCGAGCCAGATGATCTGCGTTCATCGCGTCCTCTCGGGCGGTCTTTATACTTGAGAAGCAGATTCAGAGCAGCGCTGACGTGCCTCTAGACTTTTCCAGCAGGTATGTTTACATGGCTTGTATGACTTCCCAACGCTCTTTTCTCTGACTAGAAATTAACCGAGTAAGTTTTATCACGCGGAAAAGTAATGACGTTAACACAGTACTGTAAAGCTAGACTTCTGTCCTAATGCAGTAACGAGTGAGTGACATGCATGGCAACAGAAGGTGGCAGCCACGTAGCTATTGTATCTGGACTGCATCACATCAGACCAGAGTCTATCAAAGAGACATATTGGGATTTGATTAAATTAACAGCAGTGAGAGTATATGACACCTTTCCAATAACGCAGTTATGATATCATTGTCCACACCGACTCATTTTGCAAGGCAAACAACCTGCTGTACCTGCAGGGCAACTTCGACGACTTGAACTGATTCCGCTACCGCTGACTGACAGGTTTAAGGGAAATGCTTACAAACAGAGTAGCTTTGTGTGCTTAATTTTATGTTAATGTTAGGCTTGAAACGTCATTCCTGAGACCCAAGTCTGACTGTTTACTCCTAGCATCCTTTGGACCTTTTCTCTCAAAAAGGTGGTGTAACGTTACATGTCACGTTTAGCATATATATCTAATTGTCTAAATCATTGTAAATGTAACTTAATTGTGTATAAAATATAAGAATATATATATATTTTTCAGGTTTTGTGAGATTAAACCAAAAATATTTGATGAATACAGTTTAATTTTCTAGATTGAAATGTAGGATTGGTTGTGGAATCTTTACATGAACATGAATTATGTTATAATCATAGTCTGACCACACTGTATTTAGTTCTATAAAGTTTGTGTGGTCATTTTTTTGTCACCAGTATGTTCCCCTCAAGGATCTTGGGACAGAATGGGAGTGTCTGGTTGACTTAGTGGGAAGGTGTGTGATATACATGTTTGGCAATTTTACCCTTTGTTCTGTAATGAGGCTAACTTTCCCATCTGACAACAACTCGCATTTAGATAATGTGATGAGATGAGATGGTTACTGTATTACTGCACTTTCCAAGACCCGTATGGGTGTGTCTTCTGAGAACTACATCCTTGAGTTATGACGGGTCTAATAATTACAACCAAGCTGTCAGCTGATAATGTCATACATGGAAAGACGCCTTTATCTACATGTTATCATAAAAGTGTTGTCAGGTTACAAAAGTTGCTAAACCACTTTTCCCCCCCTGATATCACCCTTCCTCCTCTTTTATTAAACACATGGGGCTGTACATGTTACCACTTTTGCATGTTGAGCAAGATGTAAAGAAACATTGGTGGTGTTGTGCTCTCATTGTGGTTAATGTGCATCATCACACTTTGGATCGTCTTTGCAATGCACATGAAACCATGATATACTGTCGTTGTATATTTGAGAACCTTTTTATGGTCAATACTTAGAGATGTGGTTCTGTTTTTAGCATTTTACATTGCAAATAATATAGTGGTATGACCAAGGCCTTGAGGAAAGAGGAAACAGAGCTTGTGGTCTATGTGTAATTGTATTTTTTTTTAATATCGAGGGACAGGAAGTTGAGTTTGCCAAGTGAGGATTAGCAATATCTATCCTAAGATAGGCTGTGTTTATGTTTCATGTATCTGGGATTCTTCGAACCTCCAAGCATGCGATCCTCTTTTATTACGAAATGTCATACAAAAAATAGCGTTGATGTGCATGTAGTGTTGCAATGCAATGTCCAGAGCAACTGTAGCTCTGTTGATGCCTGTGGTTTTGTCAGCAGTTGTAGATTTGTGGCTTTACCTCGATGCTCGTCGAGATGCATTTGTGAGCCACTCTCAATTAGAGGGGAATGACTGCAGTGCAGGCTTAATGAAAGTCCTGTGACCATACACACGCTCTGTCCTCAGTTTAGCACAATGAACAGATGCTGTCGCAGGTCAAATGTCAACCAAGCTAGTCTTTTAATTTCTGATTTGGTATTTGTGTTAAATCTCACTCTTTGGAATCAGTCTTGAGACACTGTTTACTGAGCGTAGTGTTTATTAGGGATGACAGAATTGCAATTAGCAGACCTGGTGTTAAATTAAATCACAACTGTGTTTAATCAAATCCAAGTCAGTTTTAACAACATTAAGTCACTTGCAGGACCATGAGTCACAACTAGAGGGCGCTTACTCCAAAGATTTACCCATGATTCATGTCTGCAGTTTCATATCAAATCCACGTGGATTTTTTATAGCCAATATCCAATTTTTTTCTTAAGAACATAAGTTTGTTCCTCCTTCTGAGATCAGCAATCCCATTAAGGGACTAAAGGAATGTAATGCAATTTCTGCAGATGGTCTAAACAATATGGAGAAGATGCTTGTATGAATAATTTAGCTGCAATAATAAATAGAGTAGTAATGGTGCAATGTGGATTCAGATTTGCTCAGCAGTGCCATATTTATCTGCTTTCTGAGCATTGGCTGGATAACATGCCTTCATTGTGCATTGATGTTCAATAAAAAATAATTAAATACGAAAAAAGAAATTCCTGTTAGTGGCGTGTTACTAAGTGCTCCTCTGTAATACTTTATGTAAGCACATTAGAAAAGCAGTTGACAGGATCTATTCTATTGGACATGTAGTTAATATATCACCAGCACACACACAGTGCCTGGATTTAACCGATCAACACTGTCTCCAACTAATGTTGTTCAAGGGTGGGAACTGGGAATGAGTACATAACAAAGCCTGTTTTAGATTCTAAATTGAAGATTAATTTTTGATCTGCGTTTGATGCAGGCAATAAATTATTTACAATGCATTACATTCCAAGGTCCACAGCAGTACTTGAGTTATTTGATTGTTTGTCACTAGTTTTTGCTCTGATGGTTAAACTGGAATCAACATACAGATCAAGGGGAATTCATTGCAGTAATTGTCTGTCCATTTAATTTTAACTAATTAAAATTATTTTATTTCAAAATAAACGTGATTTATGTCAATTTCACCAACTTATGTACACCAGTTTAAAATATGGATGGTTAGATTTTATAATCAAGATGTTCACTAAGGCAAGGATGCATTCATTTGGTAAAAACAAAAACAAAAAAACAGTAATATTGTAAAAAAAAAAAAAAAAAAAAAAAACATGCATTTATTCCGGTCATGGTGAAATTAAAGTGATTTCTTTCAGAAATCAATCAGATATGCTTAATATTATCAATTATTTGAAGTTATTTATTTTTTTGAAAACTGACATAATTTCCCCTGAGGATTCTTTAATGAATAATAAAAAAGAGAAAATATAAAAAGTAAAAAAAAAAAAAAAAACGTACTGACCTCAAACTTTTAAATGACGGTGTATTAACATTATGTAATTTTAATGCTTACAGTATTATTGAACTTTCTTTGCAATGTAATCATCAAACAAGCATGTAAATACAAGAATATGGTACTAGCTAGATGTGTATTATCACAGGTCAGGCCCAAAACACAACATTGTTACGCAATATTTTTATACAATAAAAACCATGGTGTTCCTCATTTCTCTAAAGATGCATCATTGGTGTGAAAGAAATCGAAGACCCCTTATTAAGGGGTCCTTTATGACTAATTATAAAATGATTTTATATTTTATAGGGCAACAATTTGTAATATTGTTGTGCAACAGCTACTGGTTCTCACAGTTATGTCCTCTATCACATCTGTGGTGCAGTTTTTGTTACTTTCTGCAGTATCTCAGGTTTCCATCACCACTGAAAGAGCCACAAGTGTTACATTTCAAACACTCTTTATGTGTGACTGCACGCCTGTATGTGGGTGTGTATGGACTGTCATGTCATCTGCCATGCCGTCCTACCAGGAGATGAACGTTTAATAACAGCTTTCAACAAGGACTGTGGGCTCAAACACGGCTTTGTTTTAAATGCTATGCTGGGAGTCCAAGAAACTGATGTGCATCCATTAGATTGACAGGTTAAAATGCGATTAAAAGCAAATGAAGGCTGTGATGAATTATATGTTTGTTCGTAGAGAAGACTCAGTCCACTCAGTGATAAGAGAAGATAAGTGCTATATAAAATGTTGGAAGCCAAATATTAACCTAAATAGCACTTTTCTGAGCATGAGATAGAAGGATAGAAAAATAAAACGTATCCCACACAAAACATATGGCACAAGAAGCATGTTGGTGCATCTCTGCTAGTAGGAGAGGAGAGCTAGTAAGGCTCCGCCCCCTCTTGACATGTGACTACTCTGTCTCAGCCCCCATTACCCCCCTCCTTGGACATATACTCAAGCACACACTGTTGTGAGCGCTATATCAGTGTGTGTGTTTGAACTCTTCTGGTTAGTTTGACTTTTCTGTGGTGAAGAAGAAACCGAGGATAACAGATATGATGGGGGTGTCTCTGCCTGCGCACGGGCAGGTTAGTAAACATTCTTGGAATTTGATTTCAAATTCAAGCTTTTTTGTCATACCAAATCTGCATATTTTTTAAATGGATATTTAAACCTCTTTATGAATAGCTGAAAGGGATCTTTTTTGTATTTTGCATTTCAAACAGCAGAAATGAGGAAGAAACTCATTCTGTCATGGGTCACTTTTTTTCACAATGTTAGACTGATAGTAGAAACTACATGTGATGAATAAATACGGAGCGATCAGAATGATCTGCATTTACACAGAGGGTGTGATTTCTCAGATGTTTGTGCAAATGTATGTGGGAGAGCATGAGTCACTGCAGCATGTCAATGAATGTAATGTAAGCAATTCGTATTAATCAGAGATGAATATGTGCACTGCAGAACTGGATTTAGTCATCTAAATTGGATTTTGTTTTCATGAGTAAAAGAGCCTACGTACCCTAAATGCTTCAGCACCTGGTTTGCTTTGGAAATGTAGAGACTAGAGCAGTGTGTTCCTCCTACAGTGATCGCCGTCCACCTACCCGTTTTGTGTCTTGGTTGCATATACATCCCACCAACCTTTGCTATGTACACAGAAAACATTGCCTTGTATGTACATTTGGTTCTCACTATTCAGGATGTGGCTTCTTAGAGCATTTTTTATCTGTGCTGAACATGGTTAGCATTTTATAAATAATCAAAATAAGGTTACACACCAGCAGTGTTCGGGGAATTGGCTTCAGGTAAAATACAGTGCCAGTGAAGTTTGAACACACTTGACTCAATTTGTATTTGAATATGCCTTCAATTTATTGACAATACACCAGTACATATGGAAACTTGTAAGAATATGTAAGAATTTTTTATGCGTACTTTTTTTTTTTTTGTCACTATATAATTTTTGTTGTTGTTTTCAAATACACATGGCATATGTTATAAAGGGAAAAAATATCTATATTTTTTAAGTATTGTAATATTTCATCTCACAAACATTCTCACCTCAAAAATAAAAATTTTTACATTCATATTTTTGGGGAATGAGAGATTGCAACATAATGCACTATTAAACCTAAATAATCCGGACCCAAATATTAATATAATATTGTATTGTGCGGTCTCTTTCGTTCATTCATTTTTAAAATCTCTCTGTCATGATATTTGATCCTTTATGGAAGTGGGTTATCCATCAGGATAAGGTATTTATGTAGTAGTGTCTGTTTGGAGACTCATGCAGGGGGGTGACGTTGTTGTGGCAATACCGGTTTGTCCGACTATACTGTTCAGCCAATTTACTGCCATAGAGGGACATGCTTCATTACTCCACTCACAAGGTTACAGTGGCCCTTTTTCCTGCTTTTGTGTTTGAAAAGACTTGGTCACTTGCCAGTTTAACAGATACATTTCAACGAGCACAATTGGCTGTGCATTAGTTACAGATATAGTCCCATTGGAGCAGCCTGCGGAACAAGGCATGGCTCAATAACTCGCCAGTTCCTGGATCCCTAAATCATGTTCTGGTTCTGCTAGAGGGTGGTGTGAGTGGTTGCCAAGACCTTTTTTTATGTAGTGGCTTTAAGGTGGGTTTGATTAGGATAGAATTGTAACGGGGTTCTTCTTAAGGGTCATTAGGGCAAGTGGTTGACATGGCATTGTTATATTGTTGCTAATGTGTTCGTGATTGGGATGGTGTTCTGAATGGTTGTTGGGGTATCTCTAAAGCCCAAAGTATATTCCGGCTGTGCAGTGTCCACGTGACATATTAATTATCGTCATCAGGAGGGTCTGCGCTAGGGTGACCACCCACCCGTCCCACTTTGCGTTGTACTGCACAGCATTTTCGCCCCTTGTCCCGCACGTCGCATATTGAGAAAATGTCCTGCATTTTCGTCAGTCTATTCGTTTTTAATTATCATATTAAGAAAACGTGCATGCGTTCTTTTGCCTTTTTAAGATAGCATTTTACTTATGACAAAGCGCTAAAAAACTACGCAGCAAAAGTAATAAGTACAAATACAAAAGCTGTGTTTTATATACTATCCAATGGTTGACAAAAAAAGGAGTAATGAAATATACCCTCGCCTTAAGCGGTTGGTTGGGTGTTGGTTGCTTATTGGTTTATGACGGTCCCTAGATATATCTTGCTTCATCCATTTATTCAAATTTGACATCCAATTTATTATATTACAGGTATAAATCATAACCCTGATCACTTGATAGCTCACCCTCCCCAAATAAGCGACTTGAGGAATCAGTCATGTTTGTAGCACATATGCATGTGCAATTATTTGTATAAAGTGTGAAATTATTTTCTCTCTACACGTTTTAAACACCTAAGACATAGATGGGCCACTAAATATATGATGTACCTTCTGGACTTGATCAACTAGATAAACATTCTTCTGTGAGCTTCAGTTTGACACTTAAATCAGCATGAGTTTGGGCGTTGAGAGTTTGAGGGTGTTTATACTAGTGGTGGTGGGAATGTGACTTTGCTGCTTTGTAGACGAGCTCTTTTATTTGAGAAGTTATTCAGCCAGTCTATCACTGTCCGCCCTTACGTGTGCAGGTGCCTCAGTGAGGACACATGGGAGATTTCCAGAAGTGTTGGAATACGTGCTTGCATTCCTCATCTTATTTGGACTGTGTCCACATCCTGATGGAGGTGAAACTTTCTCAGCGAAAGTCAGTAGCTGTACGAGAAGTGGTGGATGTGTGAGTTTGTGTTTTGCAGACTATGCAACACTGAAATGTAAATAGTAAAAAGCTGCTTTTGGAACCTCGCGATGTGAGCGAGATTGGTTCATTGGTGTGTGACAGGTGTCCTCACTACAACTCAGGTTTATTTGACTGTCTGATTTCCATAAAACGAGGAATATTTGAATAAAGTCTTTGAATTGCATATGTCCGCTTTTGCGAGTATATTTAGGAAAAGCATAATCTAGTGTTTGTCCTCGTTCTTCTCTACAACGTTATTCATGGTGTTAAACCTGTGTGATTTGTTACCTTGGCAAACGTGTTGTTGAGCTCTGTTACCCACAGCAAACTATGAATGGCTGTTTATAGTAGGTTTCCATTCATCACTGTAATATGAGCCCACATTTAGCAAATTGAGCTTTTTCTTTTTGCATCCCTGGATGTTTATTGGAGAAACTGTTATTGCTGGTCAACGAGAACCAATAACTCTGTGAAACGGGATTTCTCAAGCTGCTTCACAGCTTCCTTCAAACACTTTGTTTTAGTACACAAAGTCCATTGACATTGAAGAGTATCCATCCACATCTAACATTTTTCCAATGCACCATTTAGTTTGGTTATGCAATATATCAGACAGTATTTTAGTTAAGATTGGTTGATGCTGGATAAATACAGTATTGGATCAAGCTCATATCTTGTCGTCATCTAACGCTTAAGTTATTTAAAAAAACAAAAACAAATAATTTACTTACACTGTTAAATGTAATCTTTATCAAATCTCTAAATTGCTATCCATTTGTCCTTTTTAATGTTGTGATACATAAGTTCATCTACTATCTACGTTTTATTTTTCATTTATTTTGACAGATTAGTTTAGATTTTTTTTTTTTATTTCAACCGTTTTTCAGTTGAAAATAATGATCAGCTTATCGTAGAGTCAGAGGAATCGGTGCAGTGTAGTTGCTAGAGGGTGTTGTAGATAGAAGGCATAGTGGACGCATATCAGTTTCCCCAAAATAATTGTATTATCTTTCTCATAGAGAATTATCACAGCGTGATTATGACTGTGTGTCTCTATACTTGAACCCAGGTGGTTTCACAATATTCTATTCTTTAAAACTTCTCTGTAAGAGCCTTTTCATCAGCGAATCATCTTAAAGGAAGTAAGAGCAGATCTATTTTAGTCCTGCTGTTGTGGTTACGAAAATCCACTCTTTCCTAATGACAACTAACAGCTCATTCAACAGAGAAGTGTCTAAACTATTACTGAAGATGTGATGATTATAATGGGCTTTGATAGCTTTAGGTTAGAGTAATGCTTTAAGAGAACTTCATTTCATTATAGACAAGAAACATTCACTTGGACGCCACAGACCCACTCACATACAGTATGGCTTTGTCTAGAGTGGATTAAAGTGTTATCATAATGTCATGAGGTCAAATTATGAGGTCTAGATTAGACTGAAGGTTTAAAAGTGATCATCCTCATCATTTTGTTCTGTGTTGTCACTGATGTGAAGAGTGAATGATTTTAATTTAGTACCGATGTTTTCATTTAGACATGCCATTTCCTAGACACCACACTATTATGATGATGCATTTCCTAATTTCTTCAACCGTTAATCAGGATATGAAAAAGGAAGATGGGTTTGATATGATTTTAAAAGAGAATTAAAAATGTGTTTGTTTTATATAAACCTTCAAATCTGGATTTTTTGATGAATAGAAAGTTTTAAAGAACGGCATTTATTTGAAATAGAAATCTTTTGTAACAATGTAAGCGTCTTCAATGTCACTTTTGATCAATTTAATGCAACCTTGACGAATAAAAGTTCAAAAAGACATTTCTGTAAAAAAGTCTTTCTAACCCCAAACTATAGTGTTTTCAGTGGTTTTGAACAGACTATAAGTTATCTTCACGCTCAGAAACTCTAATTTGTGTTTCACTGGACTGTGCAAAAGGTGAGGTTTGTTGTGACATTAATGAATTGCATTGCTTTGTTGCATGCAGTGTGTCTGGACAAAAGAGGGATTTTTGGTTTTGTATGTGATGTCGTTATGCTTCCCGAACCTATTTGTGACCAATTAGGAGGAAAGAGGAACAGGATGGAGGTTGCAGACTGTTGTCTGTTGTCCCCGATTTAGTTTTCAACTTTATACACTCAGCACAGACTTGTCTCCTGTTTCAGTGCTGAATAAGTTTTTCTAAAAACATTCCTCCTCCTCCTCAACCCCCAAACACATCAAAGAAACCACACACACACTCGTTTGATGGACATTCCCTATTGTGGATACAGTGTTTGAACCCTAACCCTAACCTATCATTTTTCATTCCATTCAATATATGTTTTATGGCTTTTTTTTTTGTCAGGAGCAAACACAGTTTTAATACTTCCTAATTTCCTATGCTAAAAATGTGATGTGTGTCTTAAAGGAGCGCCCTGGCCAGCAGGCTGATTGTTAGCCATGCTGCGACAGCAAGAACCCACGGTTAGCACCCTGCATCTGGTGGCCAATGATATGACCGATATCATGGAGAACTTGGACACACGAGAACTTGACATCGGCGATGGGGAGTTTGAGGAGTTTGATGGCCGGGATCCCAATAGTACAGGTAACAGAAACAAAGAACCACATAAAATCACAAACATAATCCCAACAGAGGAGACAAACAAGTTATATGAAGATAATATTCATATACACTGCCATTTGGAGGCCAGTAAGATCTAAGAATCAGGAAGAATTTTTTTAAATCTTAATATATTTATTCAGAAACTATGCTTTAAATTGATCGAAACTGATGTTAAATACTTGTACAATAATTTATAAAAAATTAAATATCAAATATAAACGTTTTATTCATAAAGGAATCCTGAAAATCATGGCTTCCACAAAAAAATGAGGCAGCACAACTGTCTCAACATTGATAATACTAAGAAATGTTTCTTGAGCAGTGAGCACCAAAGATCAGAAAACAATCTGATCATGTGACATGTAAATTACATTCGAAAGTATATAAAAATAGAGAATAATATTTCACAATATTTCTGTTTTTACTGTACCTTTGATCAAATAAATGCAGCCTTGGCGAGAAGAAGATACAGTACACTTTCTTACTGACCCCAACTTTTGAACACTAGTGTGTCTGTCATATATTCATTTGAAGTATTTTGTCCACAGAAAACCGCATCCCCTTCTCAGCTGTGTATAAAACAACAGGCTTTAAAGAGACCGGGGCACGCGTGTTTCTTACTGCGCTTCCCATCACCGCCAAAATCCTGGAGGTGGAACGCTTCACTTCTGCCCAGGATCGCTTCAACCTCACGACCCAGAGAAGCGTCTCTAAGGTGAGATCTCCCACTCCTGTTCCCTCTCATGAAGTGTTAGTATGTGGGCTGACGAGGTATATTTGTTTCCCGGGAGATTTAAAGGTTGCCAGAGCAATTTACATGTTGCCCTGGAGATTTGGACACCATATCTGGAAATACTTAGCACATGCAAAATTGTTTTTCAGAAAAATAATGACAAACACTCATCACTCATGTTTTGGATGTAGTAAATGCTGAAGTCTTAAAGGAATACTCTCCATGTTGTTTCAAACCCAAATGTTCTAATTTTCATTTTAAAGAAAGCTCCTTCCATACAATGACTGTTAAGACCATATCTTTTAAGGTCCAAAAAGACACCATAAAAGTGGTCCATGTTCCAAAAAGCATTTAGGTTTGGAAGGACATGAAAGTGAGTAAATGATGACAGAAGTGTATTGTGGTTTTAATTTTTGGGTGAACTATCCCTGATGGCTGGTCTTGTCTCCAGGCGCTTCCGGCTTTGTTTAAGATCGAGATGAGGCACGGAAACTTCACCTGGTTGGTAAAGAGGAAGGAGAAACATTTTATGGAGCTTCACAGGGAACTCCGTGCCTACAAGACCTTCCTCAGAATTCCATTGCCCACCCGCAGGTGACCTGATCATACATTTTATTATAATTATATAAATTATTTATTTATAATGTTTATATGAATATGTTAATAATTACATGCACTTAATTTGAGTATATTATGTTACATTTGAAAATAGTATATTTATATTTTTTATATACTATATAATATAATATTGTTTTATATGCTTGGGGTCAAAAGTACAGTAAAAATAGTAATATTGTAAAATATTATTACAACTTGTAAAATGTTATTTATTCCTGTGATGCAAAGCTGAATTTTCAGCATCCTTACTTCAGTCTTCAGTGTCACATGATCCTTCAGAAATCTTTCTAATATGCTGATTTGGTGCTCAAGAAACATTCTTTACTATTATAAATGTCGAAAAAAGTTGTGCTGCTTAATATGTTTGTGGAAACCATGATGCAGTATTCTTAGGATAAAGTCTTTTTGTAACATTATACATGTCTTTGATCAATTTAATGCATTCTTGCTGAATACAATTATTAATTTCTTTAAAAAAAAATTGTACTGACCCCAAACTTTTGAATTGTATTGTATAAATAATCATGTTTTATTCCCCTAAACTTAAGTGCAAATATTACTCCAACAAAAGGATGTATCAGTAGCCAACTTTGACACGTATAGTCTTTTCAGGGAAATTATTGGTAAATTAGATAATTGGTCTCATTTACTAAAAAGGACAAATTAGCGCGAGAGCATAATTCCAAAAATGGTGGGAGTGGAAATTTCTGGAGATTCGCATGATATACTGACTAGTGACAACGTGCAAATTAAGGAACACAGACACAGCCGGATCATTTCTATAATGACCAACGCAATCTAGCATCACAAATGGGTTAAGACATGCTTTTTTGGGGCATTAAATAAATGCATATGCAATAAGATCAGCCGCAAAAATAACTGTCCACGCCTTTTCAGTGCTAATTTTTCATTGTGTGTTTTTAGTAAATCCTGACATTAGTTTTATAATGCCAAAAGAGGGTTTGCACTGGTGCAAATTGTTAATAAATCTGGCCCCATGTGTGAACCCTTTTCAAATATACCAGTAAATTGCCAGAACCAATTTACTGGTATATTTGAAAAGGGTTCACACACCTGGGTTCGAATCCACTGTCCTGAGCAAGACACTTAACCCCTAGTTGCTCCAGAGGCGTGCGACCTCTGACATATATAGCAATTGTAAGTCACTTTGGATATAAGCTTCAATAACATTACCAGTAAATTACCGGTATGATGCTGTGTGTAAACAAAGAATAAAGAATACCGTTATGAGCATGCATGGGCTGATGTAAAAAAAATCTGCTTTGAGCCAATCATGAAGTTCTTACGGAGATGATGCAGTTACTCCGCACTGTTTACAAGCTTCACAAAACATTTTATATGTAAATATGTGCTAGTTGGACATCTTTGACCATTGTGCCTCATCTTGCAGCTTTTTCTAATCATAAGCGCGGCAGCTCTGCAGTTGGATAATATGTGTGATCATCGTCTTACACCTGTCACGCAGAAGTAAAAAAAAGTTGTCAAATTGAACAGATAGTGAAACTAAAGAGATTCTCCTCATGCACTTGAATGACTGACATCACAGAATTTACTGGTATTTTGGTGCTGATGTGTGAATGGTCTCTTACCGGTAAAAAGTCATATCACCATTGCTTTTGTGAAGAGCATATTTGTGTATTTACCGGTAAAGTCATTCTGGTAATTTGCTGGGATTACTGTGCAAAAGGGACCAATGTCTCATCTCATCATGCCTATGGGGCAGCAATTGAGTCATGAACTCTACTGGTCTACATGTTGACTTTATGCAGTGCGTTTGCCATCTTCTGGTAATCTTAAGATGTCTTTCTCTGTCTTTGAAATAGTCACACGGAGCGAAGGCACACCATAAACCGGAACCTTGAACGGCACATGCCAAGTCTACCCCGGAGTGGAGGCGAAGAACTGGCCAGGGAAGAGCAAGTCTCTAGTCGAAAAGTCAGTTTCCTGTTTCAGTGGAACACTGCTAACATGTTCAGATGATTTGTGTCTGAACATTGTGCTTTTCTTCACAGAGACAACTTGAAGACTACTTGAATAAGCTGCTTAAAATGCCAATGTATAGAAACTACCATGCAACAGTATGTATATATTTGGATTATAATATTTTATTTCAGTAGGTATGTCGTTTTTTTTACATTAACAAATCTTTTTTTTCTTCCATAGATGGAATTTATTGATGTGAGTCAGCTGTCCTTCATTCATGATTTGGGACCAAAAGGCTTGTAAGAGCTCTTTGTTTATTAGCTAAAAATGTTTAAATTATTATTTATAAATATATTCTTGCATTTTTTTGTGTAATTGATCCTTGTTTCCTTCCCAGGGAGGGTATGGTTCTCAAAAGGTCAGGGGGTCACCGTATTCCTGGACTGAACTGCTGTGGCCACAGCAAAATGTGCTACCGCTGGTCCAAACGGTCAGTGTCTTTCATTTTCAGCTTGCATAGGTTCACAAAACAATCACCTTGGTTAAAAATGAGGAAAAATGGAAAATCTCATCTTATAATGTCTTACTGTTGGTCTTTCCAGTTGGATGGTGGTGAAGGACTCCTCCCTACTCCTCATGAAGCCAGACACAGGTGCCATCTCATTCGTCCTGCTGATGGATAAGGCGTTCGGCATTAAAATGGACACTAAAGAGACTGAGACAAAGCACGGTGTCCGCATAGACAGTCTGTCCAGGTGTGTGAACTGAGGCTCTCATGGTCATTAAGGCAAAATGCAGTTGACATGCACCATCAATATTTGATGAAATGAAAGCGCTTTCTGCTTCTTGAAGGACTCTGGTGCTGAAGTTCACAAGTTACCGTCACGCCCGCTGGTGGGGACAGGCAATTGATGAATTTGTGCGCAAGTATGGCAGCAATTTTCTTAAGGATCACCGGTATGGTTCCTTTGCCAATGAACAGAAGAACATCCCATCTAAATGGTAATTATGGCTTTTTACATTGATCCGATGTCTGAAAAGATCATATCATAGATGCTTAGCGGTGGGCACTTTTGGCCAATAATCAACCACCTAGAAACACCCTGGCAACCTCCCATCAAAGCCTTTGCCCTGTGGCAACAACTTTTACACAGAAAGTTCAACTAGGCAAAGAAGTCATTTTAAAACTTTTAGCTTTAGTTATATCATGTATTATATTTCATTATTGATAGTATTATTTATTGAAAAAATAACCATTTGGGTTTACTAAGCAAACTAAACTAACTTTTAGCTTTAGTTTTATATTACATTATATTAGTTATTATTGTATATTACATTATAATATATTTTATTTACATTCATTCATTTATGCAGATATTATGTTAGTATTTATTTATTGAAAATAATATAATACAAAATATTAATTTGGGTTTACTAAGCAAACTAAAGCTAACTTTAGCTTAAATTATATCAGCTATTTTACTGTATTATATTATGTCAGTGATTTATTATATTAGTGATTATTTATTTATTTCTTAAATAAATAATTTGGGTTTACCAAGCTAACTTTTAGCTTTAGTTTAAAAAAAAAAAAATGGTATTGGCTATTATATTATATTGTACATTTATTAATTTAGATTATATTACATTATTTATTTATTTATTTATGAAAAATAATATAATATTGAATTTTACTATATTAGTGATTATAATATAATTTATAATTAAGATAATTTGAGTAAAAAAAATAAAACTAAAGCTTTATTATATTAGTAGTCAATCATGTTATTATTTAATTCTCAACTTTTCTCAAAATTTTCAGTTGATGTATTTATTAACTATCCAGAAAATATCAATAATCAAACGTCTCATCTCTCAGGTTTTCTAGAACAGATAAACATGTGAAAGCTTTAGCCGTCTGATGCTGTGTCTTCAGGTGAAGCCTGTTTAACAAGAGTAACTTGAGAGAATGAGAGGGAAAGTGTAACCATAGACTCCATCCTCTTTTGACCCTGTGGAGAAGCGAGATATCTGGGGCAGCAGCTTCACTGCTGGTCTGAGCAGATGATTTGTTGTTCATTGTTGCAGCATTAAGCCCTATTAGCAAGCTTGTTCCCTGAATAATGAAAATTGTGTAATTAAGGTTGAGAATCAGCGAGGGTGTGAGTTTGCGGGCTTACCCATTGATTTGACTGATTGGGTGTGTGTGTTTCAGGTATGTGAATGGGAAGCAGTACATGGAGGATGTGGCAAATGCACTGGAAGAGGCAGAGGAGGAGATCTTTATCACTGACTGGTGGTATGTTGAGATATAGGCCTTCCCATACATTCCTCTTTTCTTTGGGTACTATTGATTCATTTTAGAAATAATGCACACACAGATCAGGTGAACCGCATTGGTTAATGTTTCCTCTGTGATATTCTGAGAGAATCAAACATTGCCCAGTTCTAGGAAGGCAGCAGGAAATGGACTGCATTTCTAAGAGGGGTTTTATTTTTTTTAGAGGGATATACTGACTTTACTTTAGGATATCAATGTTCTAACCATGCGTCACACAACAAGTGCTTTATCTGTCCAAATAGAAAGGGAATGTACTTGAGAAACTACAACATTACACATATTTGATATTTTGCATGTGGAGCACAATTTTAAACCAGTGAAATTTCATTAATAATGAGAAATATAATTTTCAACATGAGATGGTTATTGCAATTTCCAGGCATGGAAAAGTCATTGAAAAAAGTAATAATATATTTTATCATGACTTTTTAAGAAATTATTTAATTTATGCTCAACAAAGTTTTTTTTTTTTATATAGTTGTTTAATTGTTTTTTTTTTCTTCAATGTATTTAAACATTTATTATTGATTATTTATTAATGAACTAAGTTATTGAATTTTATTTTTAATTATCTTTTTGTATTTAATAAAAAAAAATTCAAATTCAAATTCTTTTCCAGTAATCACGTATGATTGGGGCTGTGAAACGATTAATCTTAATTAATCGCATCCAAAATAAAAGATTGTGTTTATATAATATATGCGTGTGTGTAGTGTGTATAATTATTTTGTATATATAAATACCACATATGCATGTATATATTTAAGAACAATGTGTTATTAATAAAACAAATATTTATATTTATATATGTATAATATTAATTTTGTATAAATATATATAAAGTATATACATGCAAATATTTCTTAAATATATACATGCATGTGTGTGTATTTATATATACAAAATAATTATACACACTACACACACACATATATTATGTAAACACAAACTTTTATTTTGGATGTGATTAATCACGATTAATCGTTTCACAGCCCTACTATGGAAGCTTATTGCTCCAAATTGAAACAAGTGACTATCACAATTTATTGTTGCCTGTCACGTTCTCAACACAACAGATGGATGAGATGTATTGCTTATACATTTGACCTGTCATAACAGTAAGGTCATGAACTGAGAGAAAAGCCCAAAGGAAGGTAGTAGAAAAAAGAAAAGGAAAGAAAGATAGTTGTATACTTTGTGTGCACCCTCTCAGAGGGCACCTCCAGCTGGGAGCAATGGCCAAACAGATCTGTTACCTTCATCAGACAGATGCCTGGTGCTGTGTTACAGCATCACTCAGTCATCCTGCAAGTGTGAGATTCCAGTGTGTGTGTGTGTGTGTCTACTTTTTTCACTGGCTTAATACATTTGAAATTATGTAAGTGACAGTGAGATGTTAGACTAGACGTTTATGCATATTTTATGTTACAAATGCTTCTCCTGCTCATGAGGTTGTGTGTGTGTGTGTGTGTGTGTGTCAATGCAGGCTTAGCCCTGAGATCTTCCTCAAGAGGCCTGTCGTCGAGGGCAACCGCTGGCGACTCGATTGCATTTTGAAACGGCTAGCGGTGAGTTAATCCGGCCCAACCCATAGCTGCAGTGAAACACCATAGATCTGTCTGTGGCTTTACTGCACCAGCAATAAAACCTTCCCATTCACTGTTCTCATGTAATAATTTACATTCCACGGTGTTTTCTGTTTTCGTGGTTATATATTAATTTTGACTGGTGGATTTGCTGTACTGACCATAAAGAATTGTTTGTTCTTGCAGCAAAAAGGTGTGCGGATATTTGTGATGTTGTACAAGGAGGTGGAACTGGCTCTCGGCATAAACAGTGAATACAGCAAACGAACACTACTACAGCTTCACCCCAATATCAAGGTCAGATAAAACAAAAAAGCCAATTCATTAATCGACTTGTGCTGTCAAATTGATTAATCGTATCATATATATATATATATTATATATATATATGTCAAATGCGATTAATCTATTTAATACATATAAGGAATGTGAATGCAAAAAAAAAAACACCATTATGGACAATTCGAGCATGATGTTTGATGTTTAATATGTATGTGAAGCACAATTTTGAACCAGTGAAATTTAATTGTGATGAATTGTGAAATTTAATTGTGAAATTTAATTGCCTCGTGGATGAACGATTATTACAGTTGTGATATTTAGTCATGGAAAAGTCATTGGAATTAATAATATCTTGGGAAATGGGAAAATCATTGAGTAATGGGAAAATCATTAAAACATTCTTGTAAAAATAGTTGAATTTTATGTAAATTAGTTCCTATCGATGCTGTGGCTTTAGTGATGCTGAATGTATTTATGCAATGTAAATATGACTATAAAAACAAATGTATTAAAATAAATAAAAATAATATTTCTGCCTGCTTGAAAGAAAAGTAACATAAAAGTAAAAATGTAAAATACTGATTATGGTTCTGACCGGTCACTCAAACCAAGTTGATTCATATATATATATATATATATATATATATATATATATTTGAATGTTTTTTTTTTAATACCAGTTTATTTTAACAAAACTCTGTTGTGAATATGCATCTTAAATGAAACATTGTCAAATGAACAAACCTAAAGTGACATAATATTTATGTAATAATAATAATAAAGTAACATCTCTGAATGATTTACAGATTGACTCGTTAAAAAGAACTGCAGCAACCGAGTCATTTGTTCATGAATCAGAAATCACATGTTCATTATTGCACTCACACTCACACGCTGTATATGGAAAGTTTCCTGACTGTCACCACTGGCAACATGATTAATCACAGTTTGTGGTTTTTGTCACTTTTGCATCCATTTTGCGATCTTTAACCTCTGCGCCACCTTAAAGAAACAAAGAGAAGGAAAGACTCGCCAATAACAAACTTATTTTCTTCTCAGGTAATGAGGCACCCTGACCACGTATCCTCTTCCGTGTACCTATGGGCGCATCATGAGAAGATTATAGTCATTGACCAATCGGTGGCATTCGTGGGAGGCATTGACTTGGCGTACGGACGCTGGGATGATCGGGAGCATCGGCTGACCGACATAGGAAGTGTCACCAGGACTCTTCCTGTGTCTGCAGAGGTTTGGATCTTAGATTCTAATGTTTTATGACATACAGCGTTGCTTTAGTATTATTTATTTACTATTATAGTATTTATTTAATTTCCATTTAGTTTCGTTTATTTTATTCTTATTAGCATGAAACGGAATCTTCTATAGTCTTATCTTCCACATTGAGACATGCGTCTTAGTGAAACGACTTCTAGAGCGGGACTTGATTTTGTCTGCAGGGAATTGATAAGATCATAGGAAGTGGGGCGTTGCTAACTAAATGGAGGCAGATCTGATATGGCGGATATACTTATTTTGAACTTAACTTATTATTTGTCACAGAATGCTTCTGAAGCCTCTCCTGCTATGGCTGCTCCATCAAACGGGCCCAGCGGGGTGCACATTAACGGCAAAAGTTTACCTGTCGACACAGTGGACCAGCCGAAACTAAAAGGACAGGGGAAGACCAAGAAGACCCGTTTCAGCATCCGTAGACACCTGCAGAAACACGGGCTGGCACCTACAGACAGCGTGAGCAGTGCCGAGAGCTCAGAAGAAAGTGAGTACGCCCCCGTCTCTGGAACGCTCGCGAATGCCGACTAGTGACACGTTACTGACCCAAACTCCCACATTCAGCTGTTATCACACTTCACAGCTGATTTTGTAATGCCTTTTGGCAGCGCTTTCATATGACTGACTATGCAATGATTTACAGTATTTACCATGAGTGCAGATAAATATGAATCATTAGTTTTAGTTAAGATACACAAACTGGGTGTAGATTAAGCCAGGGTTAGGCTTTAAGTAGCTTTTTTGAACGTGCCGTAGCCCTCAATCGGGTTATGGGATCTATACAACCCCAATCGACTTTTACTTAATAAAAAAAAAGGTTCCCTTCATCTCAGTGGAATAAGATTTTGTGACTTTTCATACATTATCTATCTATACACACACACAAAAACTAGGCTTGATTCGGTTGTTCTGAAGGTATGTAAAAAAAATGTTAATGTCAATCAATGTCAATATGACCCCACATTGAAATGAATGGGAAATGTGAAAAAAATTGTATATATATATTTTCTTTGTGTGTCAAAAAAATCTGAATTTTTTTACACAGAAGTGAAGGCCTAGTACTAGAGCATAAATGCAATGTATCATAAAAAAATAATATATCATATGCAAGCTAATGGTGTAGTTGAGGAATTGTGTGGTATATGGATACAAAAGTACTTTATATCTCCAAAAACACAGCATTAATAAATAGATGAGGAGTAAACAACAAAAGGATATATTATTTGTATGATTAAAAATGTATATTTTTTGTACAATTACTCAATCAATTGTTGGGGTCGTATAGACCCCGAAGTCCAGAAGTGTAAACAGGAAACGAAGACTATTTGAAGGTTAAAAACATTACTGGTGTGCATCTTAAGACAAAACAAGGTCACTGACATGTTTTAAGATATGTCAGTGCAAGTTGCTTTCAGTTAAAACAGCTCAAACATGCATTTTAGACTGGGACTAGTTTAAGCCTTGTGTGTGAAACCTGCAGATTGAGGATTAGATGTGATATTAAAACGCGTTGTTGCAACAGCTTCCAACTTGTGCTCATGAAAATTTTTGTCTGGAATCTATACTTGTGTTCAAATGTTTTTGGGTTGTCCAGGTTGTAAAGATGCCTCCTTTTCTTTAGGTTATTCTAATAGTATTTGCAGCCACCAAAATTTGATCCCTCTTAAATGTATTGAGCTGAGGGTGTCCATGCCCTCCTGCTTGTGCCCAAGTGGTGAGTAAGAATCAGGCTTGGGTGAGACGTCTCGGGTGTGCACTCTATGAGAGCTTGCCCGAACATTTAGTTGAAAAGAACTATTTTATTAGAAGTTAAATATCATCCATGTCAAACGGGCAACCTCTCAAAACACTGTGTGGATTGCTGTGTTTCAACAGTCAGATTGTATTCTTGCAGACTCTTCCAGATGAGAAAGATGCAGAATATCCAATGCTTGCAGATTCCAAGCATGTGTATTATTTATTATTATATATTTTACTCAGCAGTGTGAAAGCATGGATTGCTTCGTTCAAAGTTGTTCTGGGTGTGGTTTTTGATTTTACATGATTTTATGAAAAACTAATTTTACTCTTGGATGCGATTTTTTTTATTTTTATTTGTTGTTGTCCGTCACTCTTATCAGAGGCTGAAGCTGCACAGGATCTGCAAGCGGACGTTATTGGCCTGATGGGGAACACCCGGTTCTGGCACGGCAAAGATTACTGCAACTTTGTGCATAAGGACTGGATCCAGTTGGATAAACCTTTTGATGGTGAATTATTTTTCTGAAGATTAAAGCATTTAATGTATTTAAAATATAAATACAATAATACATACAAATAAATTACTATAAAATACATTTTAAGCATTCATATTATGTGCATTTATTTCTGCAATATGCTCTTTTTGCAGATTTTATTGACAGGCACATAACTCCCAGAATGCCTTGGCATGATATTGCCTCAGTGGTTCATGGGAAAGCAGCCAGAGATGTTGCACGCCATTTTATTCAGCGCTGGAATTTCACAAAGGTGAGGAAATCAATATTGGCATGTCTTAGTGCCTTATCTTTTCATGCCTTCTCCCAAAGTATTCTGTATAGTCAAGATAAAATGTATATAAATGCCAAAGGAATGCGTATAAGTATATATAAGTGGCCAGTGTGTGTGTGATTAAAATAATTTTAAAAGTATAGTAATACATTAAAAGGAATTATTTTTAATTGTTTTACATGCCACGCCACAAGATATTTCAACTTCCCAAAAGTATTTAATGTCTTCCCAACGTTGGCTAATGTCATAAACATGGCTTTGAATACAGTATGTTTGTATTTGCATTGCCAGATCATGAAGCCCAAATACAGATCCCTGTCGTACCCGTACCTCCTTCCTAAATCTCACACTACTGCAAATGAGATCAAGTATCAGGTCCCTGGCTGCACCCAGACTAATGTCCAGGTAAAATTTTATATAAATAATAATATTTCCATTAGACCTCATACAGACCATGTACAGCTTTCATAGTACTAATTCTCTTTTTGCTCAGGTGTTACGATCCGCCTCAGACTGGTCAGCAGGTATAAAATACCACGAGGAGTCGATTCATACAGCCTATGTCAATGCAATTGAAAACAGTAAACACTATATCTACATAGAGGTGTGTGACGCAATGATTTTATTTTCTGTTTGTTCATATTATCCCTAACTATTAGAATCAATGTTGATGTATTGGTTGCTAACCACAGAGACTGTGGCTTATATATATATATATATCATTCAGGATGTCCTAAAGCAGCATTTCATTGATCTAATGTTATTCATTTGCTCTTTCAGAACCAGTTCTTCATAAGCTGCGCCGACAACAAAGTCGTTCACAATAAAATTGGAGATGCCATCGCCAAGAGGATCATAAAAGCATATCGGTGAGCTGCTGTCAATGTCTTTTACCCAGTCCTTCCCCTATCTTTTGTACAATATGTCCACACACCTATAACACACACAGATACATTATTTCTTTAATGAAACGCGTGTAAATCAATAGGACAGACACAATGTTTGTTTAAAGACAAAAATGTATTTTTCATTTGTAAATGAATAGCCAGCTGTGATAAGAAGAATATATAAGGCCATACGTTGGCAAAACATATTGATCTCTCTTATTTCAAATGTGACAATTAATCTTGTGTTCTTTCTGTGTGGTTCACAGGGAGGGTAAAAAGTACCGTGTGTATGTGGTGACACCACTGCTTCCTGGATTTGAGGGGGATATCAACACTGGTGGGGGCAGTGCCATACAGGCAGTCATGCACTTCAATTACAGGTAACACTAAATATTATAATCCTTTATATGCATACATATAAACAATAAAATACTTCATTCAGTAAAGGATGCAGTTGATCAAAAGTGACAGTATAGAAATTGAAATTAGAAAAAAAAAACATTTTATTCATCGAAGCATTCTAAAGAAAAGAAATTAAGCAGAAGAATTGATTTTTTTAGTACCCTATCAGAATATTAGAATGACTTCTGAAGGATCATGTGACACTGAAGACTGAGTAATGATGCTGAAAATTCAGCTGTCATAGAAATAAATTTGCTAAATTTCAAACATTTCAAAATATATAAAATTTTAAATTTCAAAATATATTAATATATTAAAATAGAAAACAGTTGTTATTTCACAATATTATTGTTTTTACTCAATATTATTATTTTTTTGTCAGTATTTTGATTAAAAAAATATTAGTCTTGGTAAGTATATACAGTATATTATATATATAACTACACACACAAGGTAAGTAAATTATTCTACATCTTATGTTACGTACAATGTTTTTTCCTATACTTCTATACCATTTTTTTCAAAATTTTCTGTGATAATTGACCAAATAATTCCTCAAATGTTTGCGATAAAGCTTGGATTATATTGAATCCAATCCATTCTTAAATTTACCTATAAAACAGTTATATATTATTCTTGCTGGAAGTTATCATTTATCATATAAACAGGGAGTGGTCCATTGGAGGAATTTATTTATTTCAGTCATCTCTCAAATTATTGTGCCATTTTTTTTTTAATACTCTCATGTTTGTGCAGGACCATGATAAGAGGAGACTTCTCCATTATCTCACAGCTGAAGAAAGAAAGTGAGTACACAGATATATATATATACAGTATACACCCATCAATGTTTAATCTGTACAGGGTGTGTCTGTAATTCTTCAGAAGATCTGACCCGTTTCATTACCCTAACCAGATGTTCTTCCTGGGGGTTCTGTGAAGTTCTGTGGTAGACCAATGCAGTGCAGGCACTCACAGAACTGTGTGGTTTTCCGTCTACATAGTTTTAAAAACATTAATGGCTTTGTTGATTTGTTTGATGGGTTTCAGTCTCAAAGGAGTGGAGCAAGCAGACTCCAACAGACAAGAGCAACAAAACAAGTATTTCCTGCTATGCTAACCTCTTACCTATAAACTGAAGGCTTTAGGCCTTCCATCCCAAAACTACATTGAAATAGACTATAATAAATCATTCCGTCAAGCAAGTTTGTTACATCTCTCTTTTTTGAAAATATATTCTGTCATAATGCCCTTCATTGGAATAAGATGCTCTTTTTTAGTCAGACGGTGTAGTGTAGTTACGTCATCTACACAGTCCATTATAAACCACATCATAAATATAGTTTACAAAGCCATAGTCAGTTGAGGATCGAGGGTCTTAATATATAATATAATAATAGTAATCAGCTGATTGTCTCACAAACGTAACCAGCACATTTCACCCCATAATACAGCGAGGGAGAAGAACCACATAAAACTATCCAACTACATATTTTTTCTAACAGGCTAGTGAAAGTTTAGCTGGCTAATATGGGCTGTTGCTGAGCTGTTTAAAACGTAAAGCATTGTTTATACTTGATGCGTCCGCATGAGCGCAAAGGTGCGCGTGGCAAAAATGACGTGATTGTAACAGTGCGCGTGCCTCCGCATCCCCTACACACACCAATTACTACACACAAATTAAATAATAATGTTGTTTTTTTTCTCTGGTTTTGAAAACTCTTTGCAATCGACTTAAAATGCTTGCAAGATCGACTTGTCTACGCGATCGACGGGTTGGTGACTCCTGTAACGTTACTGTTTTATGGTCAATGGTGCTAATCAGCTGATTGTCAAAGCCACAACACAGCGAGGGAGAAGAACTTAAGTTACATGAAACAATCCAACTACATATTTTACACCACTGACAAGGGAAAAGTCACTACTCACGGAGTCTATGGCTAGCTTCTAGCTTTCTGCTTCTAGTTTGTTCGCGTTCGGCTAAAGTAAAAACATGACGTCACAATATGTCGAACTTCATAGAAGGGGATGCCCGCGGTTATGTAGATATAAATGTCTCATTCTAAGGTAATAAAAACATTACGGTTCATTGAGTAAGGTCTTTATACACCACTGAACACACAGTTATGGATCTTATATTGCATTTCTGTCAATAGATCCATAGAAAAATTACACAGTGCATCTTAAAGGTGAACTAACCCTCTTAAGAGCATTAAAGCACGACAGCACCCTCTTGTGGTTGTAAATTCATAGTACAAGACAAACTCTCAATGGTTTGTTGCGAAAGACCTTGTTGTGGAGAAGTACTGTAGCTCTGTGTGTTTTTATCATGCAACATCTACTTGCAGTCAGGCACATTGCAGTGTCACAATCATTCGGCCTGCATCTATTAACTCACCATGAGAGAGAAAGGAGTGAAGTTTCTCTTTGTGCCTGAATTATCCAGCAAGTTGTTGGTGTTTTGTTGCAGCTTCACTGGATCAGAGCGTTCCCGCAGTGTCCCGAACACGGATACAGATACATATCGCTTGATTCTGGGTGCATAATTGGTCTGGCGCTGTTATAGATGCAGTTAGAGTTTATGTGCTGTGTAACTGTATATCCTCCTCCTCCTCAAATGAAACTGCTTGAGAAAAAACATTTTAATATATATATAGAGATTAAACTGTAGCTGAAATCTGAAACTATATCCGCTGGTGTTACTGATGTACAGAGGAAGGAAGTGTTTCTTTTGCCTCCATTGAGCTCCTAAAGTGGCTTGAATGTTAGGGGTGTCAAAATACATGCCAAAAAGTCCCAAGTTGGCACAAAGCAAATGGACAGAATAAATACGGAGAAAACCAGTCAGAGTCAAGATTAACTAACATTATATGACTTTAAACATTTTTTATTTTCAGATTCAGCTTGTTTTATTCAAACTAAACCTTTGCACCTGTGATAATCGTGACACCTTTTTGATTACTGCTACTATTAATGGAAGGAATTATAATTGTATGAAGTTGCAAAATTCCTTATTATTGTAGTTATGCTTTAAAAACAGTGTAAAATAGTATTTGTAAGTTTGGTCTTGTGGCTGTTTTTACTGATATTAATCCATATTTATCGATATAAGCAAGCATACAAAAAATGGATGTTGAATAATTACGTTTTCCTGTCATTTGACACTCCAAACCAGTGTTTAGGATCATTGAGAAACTATTATTGTTTTTGTACTATAAAATATATTTCTTTCTTAGTTTCTTTGTGCATTAAATTTAACTAAATGAAAATTAGATGTGTTTTTTTTTTTTACATTTTATTTTATTTCTGTTTTTATTATTTTAATTTTAATCTGTGGAACAAAAGAAGTTAGTTTGAAAAATGAATTTCCATTCGGTGTTGTTTTGGACCCCATTGACTTGCATTGTGTGGACAAAAACTGTATGTTCTGGATGTTCCACAGAAGTAAAAGCCATTGAGGGTGGGTAAATGTCAATGATGACAGAATTTTCATTGTTGGCTGAACTATTCCTTTAAACTGTGTAAATATCAAACGAAACCAGAAAAAGAAAAAAACATTTGCTTTCTCTGTCTCTGCAGTGGGGGATCAGTGGATGAATTACATCTCATTTGGGGGTCTGAGGACCCACGCTGAGCTGGAGGGAAAGCTAGTGACTGAACTGATATATGTCCACAGCAAGATGCTTATTGCCGACGACAACACCGTCATCATTGGTGAGTAAAAATAGAAAGTTGCAAACAGGAAAGCACATAATGACTGTATCATCTATGCACATGTGCTAATAGGAATGATACAGCAATCATGAAACTGATGCTGTCATAATGCAAGATAAAAATATTTTTTAAAAATAGCAATGGCTCCTCCTATTGTTAAGATGTAATATTGCATTCTAAATGTCAATCATTTAAATGTTTAATGCAATCATAATAATCAAAAATCTATATTTCATCCATCAGGTTCTGCCAATATCAATGACCGGAGCATGCTTGGTAAAAGAGACAGTGAGGTGGCAGTCATTTACGAGGATATCCACACTGTGAAGTCAGTCATGGACGGTCAGGAGTATCAGGCTGGACGCTTCGGATTGAGTATTCGGCTGGAGTGTTTCAGGTTCAGGACTCTTCAAGTCTGTTTACTGCATTTAGCATTTTTAGACACATGCAAATAAGGTCCAAACATGTCTTCTACTTCCTTTGAAATCAATAGGATGATTCTAGGTGCCAACACTGACCCCAGCATTGACGTGACGGACCCTATCAGTGACCAGTTTTATAAGGACGTGTGGATGACCACAGCTGCACGGAATGCAACCATCTACCAGAAGGTCAGCTTAAACTATACATAGTTCCCACAGGCAAAAAAATTGTCACGTGACCTCCCCGGAGACGCCATCTTTGAGGGCAAAACCGCTGTGTTTACCATAGGCGTTTACAACGTTTTATCAGAGAATGTCGTTTTACAAACAAATATTTATGTCTGTTTATATTGTTATGCAAATCATGAAAAGACAAAGTGTAATAGATTATAAAGAGACTATTAAAACAAGACATAGAGAGGTACAATGCGAAAATTTCATTCATAAATGGTGTGTATCCTTATGCAACAAAAGAAGCACTGAGCACCGATTATGCAACTTTGCCTCAGATACAGTATTTTCATGTGTACAATTATCTGGTATTGGTGAGGAGTTTTTACACATGTAAGCAAATTCCAAGCCTGGAAATCACTGGAGGTGTACGATCAGATTGACGTGGGGTTGGTTTGGTGACGTTTGCTCAAGTGCAATCAATGGAAAAGTAACTTAAGTCATCATAGCGAAGTAGCATGATGCTAATCTGTCTATTAAAAAGCCAAAGCCTGCACAACTTAATTCCTATGTTCCCCAGTCACCGGTGATTTCTGTAATATGCATGTATTCGCGGGCGTCATGGTTCGGTGCATGAATATTAAAATAAATAACTCGCGTGCAATTTAATTAATGTAATAAATGAGGAACTACATTATACGCGGGATCTTTAGGGACATAATCTGAGATTGCAATGCTGGAATGTGAGATCAAACAGTGGAAGCAATGTTGTTTTGTATGTTTTTAATACCTCGTCATTTTGTTCATACAGGACATTATTCAAACTGCAACGTGTTAACTTATATTTATTTACACTCGCAATAAAACACAACATTATGCTTTTGTCAAACAAATTCGTGCGTGTTTTGAGTGAGTTTCTTTCCTGTTTATGCTCGCCAGCCATAATCTCCGTCGTTGTTCGGACAAAAGCTTAGTCTTCTCACATCCATATGGAGTCTAATGACGGGTATAGTGTAAAATCCCGATTTAACTGAACCTCCGGCACGATTTTATCATCCATTGACTCAACAGGAGATGACCATTTTCACTTTATAGCACGAAACTCATTTCACTTCGTTCAACTCGTATTGCTTCTTCTTATGTTTTGCCCTAAGCAATGGCGCCGGGTCGGCAAATGCCCGTATGTTGTGACGTCATGTGGGAACTATGTATACACACAAAATGTCTTCTTCTTCTTCAGATGTTTAAAGGGGTGGTTGATTATGATTTCACTTTTCTAACTTTAGTTAGTGTGTAAGGTTGCTGTTTGGGCATAAACAACATCTGCAAAGTTACAATGCTCAAAGTTCAAAGCAAAGGGAGGTCTTTTCTTTTAAATAAATTGCTTTTTAAGGACTACAACAAACATACAATAAACATTCCTCCCGGGTTAGTGATCACTAAACCTCAAATTAATGTAAATTGACATACACCCCGCCCCCGGAAACTACACGTAAGCTACCTAAATTCATCAACTAACTATTCAGAAATGTCCTGTTGCATTCTACATGGTCACTTCTTGAGTCTCTCCATCATTGTCTGACTCCATTTTGAACATAAAAGGCTAAACGTTTTTGAAATTTTCAGTGCATGTCTGTGTGAGGTAAAAGGACACAAGCTGTTGTAGCTCCGCCCTCTGTGCCAGGAGCAGCAGCTCATTTGCATTTAAAGGGACAGACACAAAAACTGTGCGTTTTTGCTAATGTTAACATGCTATAGAAAAATATCTATCTATCTGTATATACATTTGTCTGTCTATTTTAATCTGCATAACCATTTGTCTGACTATCCATCTATCTATCTGATCTACCTACCTAAACTTCTCCATCTCCTCCAGGTTTTCCGCTGCTTGCCATCCAGCGATGTTCGGGCAATTCTGGAGTTGGATGGCTACCTCTCAAAGCCTGGTTTGGAGAAGGAAGACCCTGCCCGTGCTCAAGAGGAGCTGAAGAAGATTCGGGGCTTCCTGGTCCAGTTCCCTCTCCAGTTCCTCTGCGAGCAGAACCTTCTGCCACCCATCGGATCAAAAGAAGCCATGGTGCCTATGGACGTATGGACGTGAGAGAACCCGTCAACATTACCAAGCTTAAAATAAACTGCAAATCTAGCAGATGTACCAGGAATGACTTCATCTTTCTTATAAAACGGACTCTTCTGAGACCGAAAAGGAGATCTGGAGGAGAGTCAGCCATTAGTTGTTTACGCGCCTAGAATTAAGGACATCAGACTGGTTTGTTTCGTCCCGGTTCGAAACTTGATTGTTTTATGTTTTCTGACACTATGCAACTTAAACTAATATTATTTTTTAGGAAATATCCTTACAAGTCCTATACAAGATGATGAAATGGACGTTTTTGGTGACCTTGGACCCCTGATTGGATGCTAACATATTGATTCTTGTTCATCGTCATTAGTGAATGGTTTTGTGCCCTGTAACACGCACTGAATATGTATTATTCTCTGCATGTAAGTGCCAACTATGTTTGTGTAACTTTTCTTATTTCTCTATATAAAGTGTCCCTTATGTACTGTATTTCAAGGTAATTTATGGGTCTGTGAATAGTGGACATGATCCATTAAATTGACAAGTTTTGGTGGCCTTCTTTGTTTACTGTGCACTTGATGTTAGGTATGAACTAAAATTGACCAAAGCATTTGTCCATTATGACCAAATTGAGTTGGTTTTATAAGAATACAGACTAGTATTCAGATTTATTCCAATTATTTGTCCATATAGTACAGTATACTTTAAAAACATGTTATGCCTGAAGCTCTAAAGAAGTTTACTAATCGTTCTAAATGGACATGTCGATGTTAATTCATTCCATTTAGAAGCACTGAATCAACTACAAACATTTGATTTACGTCACTGTAAAGATCACAGCGTGTGTGTTCGTATTAAAAATATGCAGCAAGTAACCTCTAACAGTTGTTAGCCAAGCATTTAAATGTCTGCACTGTTGACTGTGTATCTGCACTTTAATTGTAGTTCAGGAGCTGATTTCTATTCTCTTTCTAACTTATTTTCCTCTTGTCTTTTTACAATTTTCCCCTTGAATTGCAGTTTTGCACAAAATATTTATCATCAAAAACACAAATTATGTGTGTTGGAATGTTAATGAAATATGTGAATTGGTGTTATACATATAATTAAACAATGATTTTCACACTACTGAGGTGAACCTGGTCTGCAGATGGATTTGTCTGTCTTGTATATTTGTTTGTCCATTTGTCTGTGTCGGTCTATCTTCTCTCATATGTCTCTGTTTTTCTGTCTATATTATCTATCTGTAGATGAATTGAAACATTATGTCTGTTGTATGTGTCTCTCTTTCTCTCTGGGGTGTCTGATAATGACTGAATGTGTGAACACTGTCTTACTGTCTGAGTAGTCTGTGTGGGGGTGTGTGGTGTGTACATTTGTTTCTTTGAGATATGTACAGCTGTTACGTTCCCTGCAGACTGTGGTCTATGAGCTACAGCTGAGCAACAGTCCCTGATACAATCTCCTGACCTTTGACCTACCTCTCCCACAGTGCACACAGATCACTTTACGGGGCGTCACATTGGAGAAACACATCAGTACAGTTATAAAGCTATAAAACCTGATGAGTGACTTTGGATGCCTCTTGATCACGCATTCAAATGATACATTTTAATGTCAAATTGATAATAAGGTAGCTGCCATTTCAGCATGTAAATCTTCTAGCCTAAAGTTTGCCTTTAGCCTGTTATTTTAGAGAACAAGCCCAAACACAAAGTGTCACTTCTGTCTGATGGAAAAGAAATGAGAAAGACAGATAAAGGCCAGGATTACTACAAAGGCATGTCGTCCTATGCACAAGCTCATGCATGTCTGAACATTGTTTCTAAAACCCTCAGATATGTGTACCAGCGAGGAAGCTTTCTTGTTAAAATTTAAAAAAAAAAGTGAGATCTCTTTATCATGTTAAAAATGTGACCATGTGTTTTTATATATTTTAGCTTCCTTCTGTAAATCTCTGAAAGACAGTGTTCACACAAGCATGAGTCACTGAGGTCATTTAAAGGTTCCTCAGAAAGGGTGTCGATGGAAAGATGATGGTTAAAAACCTAAAGCCATGGAAACATTCATGATCAACCACCACCATCTCAAAAACATTATTATTATTTTTAAAGTATATCAAAATACATTACATTTCATTTAAATAAAACGATTTTTTGTATTAAATATTATTATTTTTAATAACATCCTTATATTTTTGCTCTATTTTCTACATTCAACACAAGGCTCTTTAAATAACCTATTTAGGCCTGATCATTCTACTTTATTCTTCACAGGAATCCACAGGGGAAACAAATGTTACATAACCACCACGGGTTTCACTCCTAATAAATATCCCAGAACATATGCTTGTCTAGCAAGTCTATAATGATATGTGTACCATTGTGATTGTGATTTTGTTCTGCTAACACTTTTAGTTAATTCATTGTCCATTAGACAGGGGAAGAAAGAAAAACACCCTTTTCCTCAAATCTTCAGACAAATTCTAAACAACAGCGACAATGATGAATGGGAGCAAATCTGGTTTAAAGGCATGAAATGTGATCAGGCTAAGCCACACAAATACAAAGGATCTTATCATAAAGGCAGGCTATTGCACAAACCACTGGGACTGGAAATGGGACTGACTGCATTGTCAGCGCTAAACATTTTCTCACAGGCAATGCTAATGCTAATAGTGTTGTTGCAACAGATGCGCAAGAACCCAAGCAGGTTTTCAAACACAAAAAATGGCCTGTTTTTACAAGCAAAAGTCACTGAGGAACAAAGCCGTTCTGTGGCAAAATCCGAAGAGGAATGAACGAAATGTAGCACACACATAACACAGTCTGTGCTGATAAGATGAAAGCTATTACGCAAGGGAGGCTTCACACACTAGCCGAATTCAGGCAGGGATTCACTCTGGGGAAACATGATTTTTTACAAACAAGATGTTGAGGGAAAAGCTTCAAAAAGACACAGGGTATGTTCCTGTAAGGCAAATACATGCTTCCTGTATTTATAACTTTCCCCATCCAGCACAAAAATGCCTTTAGAATAATTAATATCCCCATTCAGTCTGTTGTGTGACTAAATTATTTAAAACTTCCACCGCTAGATGGAGCACTGTTCACTGTAGTACTATTTCATTCATTTGTAAATCAATAGACAGACAGACAGACAGACAGTAGATAGATAGATAGATAGATAGATAGATAGATAGATAGATAGATAGATAGATAGATAGATAGATAGATAGATAGATAGATAGATAGATAGATAGATAGATAGATAGATAGATAGATAGATAGATAGATAGATAGATAGATAGATAGATGTAGCCAAGCTCATAACATTCAATGGGACAGCCTTTGACAGACGAGTGTGTCATGAGAGGATGTTTTCTGCCAAGACAAGCTAAAGGAAGGTGGTGTGGGGGGAGGAGGAGTTTTATAAATCGCGCTGCTTACATAAACGGAAGGTGAGAGGAAGTGTGTTGTTTGTGGCTCACTATCTCACTGTCTGAAATGTGGCTTCCTGTTTCTGACTGGTCTTACACATCATAAGTTGCTCAACACATTCATACAAAGACAATAATAACAACAACAACAATGCCTTTTCTAAAACCAAAAAAGTAGTGGTTCTATAGTTACAATTACATTTTACGTTTTGTTCTATAAAATAAACTACACCCCCTTTTTAATTGTCCAATTTGTGAAGCATCTTTACCTATCTTTTTTATTTATTTATTTATTTATTTTTTTACAGTATATTATCTTAACTCATACATTTTATCTTTATTTTCAAGTGTCCGTGTAACTACTGTGAGTTTGGCCCCGCCCCTTGCCCTGACCACGCCCTAGGAACCCCAGTGATTGACACGCCTTCACGCCTTGCCGAGCCCTGATTCACGTCCACTCGTGCGCGCTGGTGCTTTGGACTCGTGCAACAGCAGATCATCGGTACCAGCACGAGATGTGTCCTTCATATGCGGCCATATAGCGCCTAATTCGGCGTTTTATACCCGGAATCGTGAAGAACGGTGACTTCGCACCATCCGGGAGCTTCATCTGGTCCGATTGAAGTCAATCCAGCCTGTTTGGTGTATTACACGGATCAGCTCGGCGTCTGTATTCATGATATTTCGGGCATTATATTGTTGAATATAACAGATAATCATGGCGAGTGACTCTCCTGCGAGGAGTCTGGATGAGATCGACCTGTCTGCTCTGCGGGTGAGTGGAGAGATTCAGTGCAGTAAGATGTTTTGACTTACAATGGGCAAAATATGTTCAGCATCTCGCCATTAACGATGGAGGGGGAATATGGGAGCTGTTATTCATGCACCTGACCGAGAAAAAAAACTGATTAGAGATGTACGAAATGTTTTATTATTGATATTAGAAAATTTGTATTGGATGTATTTTCGAGATATGTTTGTTAGGAATAATACAAATATTTTATAAATGATTTTTAAAGACAAAGCTGCAGCACTGACTGTTTGTCCTCGAGCATCTGATGAAATAATAAAGCTAGAAGATAGCTTTTATTAATACACAATTCGTGTTTTGTCCCTGGTTATGCGGTATTATTGTGTGAATAATACTAAAACAGCATATTCAATAGACATAAGTCACCATTAAGCGTTCATTTTAATGTCAAATGTGACTGCTCGACAGTGTTTATGGGAATAATTTCGCACTGTATAGCCTACCGTGAGCAGTTTTTGCGTCATCCTTTTTTTTCTTTTTTTTGTCTTAGTGAAATTATAGCTGGGTATTTTAAACTGATACACATTGAGTTTCTGCTATTCATTCGAATGAAATGCCCTATTCTGTATGAGGCCTATTAAAATGGCAATGTGTGCATTGCAGACAGCTTCACTTCTTGTCCCCGCCATTATATGATAATGATATACTATCAAGATGTTTCCGTGCCAAACATGTGCACGTATTGTGTTGAATTTGCAGCTTCTGTCTTTTGTTTTCTGTGTTTGAGATCATTTCTCTGTGAGTGTGACACACATCCTCTGACTGGGTGGACAGAGCCGGGCTGCTCTGGATCCTGGGCGCTCTGGGCTACACTGAGTGGTCTGAATGCTGAGTTCCTTTATGGTTGCTCTGCTTGATGGGTACTTTCAGTTCTCCTTTCCCAACCGCAGGAAAAATCACTGGCCCCTAAAACCTGCTGGACTCAAACCGAGAATTGTTAACGTACAAGGGCCGGGAGGTGGAATAAAGTACAATCATCAAATTTCTAAATCTGGCAAGACTTGAGGAGCGGTCAGGTTAGCTAAATTTCACATGCAAAAAGGTCAGTTGGCTTTTCTCAATAGTGTAGCGATGTATGAAGGACAGCTCACACATAAGTCACTTTCAAGACGAGCAGCGTTCTGTTGGTCGGTGCGGCAAATTCAGATGACCAACTTGAAAGTTGATGAAATCTGAGTAGGGAGCTTTTTTAACTCCAGATATCTCGGATTCCTGTCAGAATGACTGGATTTTGCCAGCGTAATTTTGACGAACATTGATAAATGTGAAAGTATGAAGGTTGAGATAAGATACAATTTATATTAATTTGATTTTAGACTGGTCACACTAGACTTTGGCCTTGCAAAATTTCTTCAGTCACTGGCTGCAGTGGTCGTGATATTCAACATTTAGCAAATGAAAATGCATTCAAAATGTAAAAACACAGGCTGCTCCACTTTCCTGCTTTTGCTCTTTTAATTCAGATAAGTGTTCACGCCATGACATATCAATCTTGTTTTGGTCATGTCTTTACATGATATGAATTTGCAGAACCAAACTTTCAACACAGTGAAATTCTAAAATTCTTCACATGAGCTTGCATTTCCGGTGTCCTACATTCAGATGCGTATGAATGGAAGTGAATGGAACGAAAAGTGTATTGTGACCAGCACCCATTTATGCAATCAAATGAAGATCATTCTCATTATGATTAATGAATAATTACTAAGTTTGCACTTTTTTTCTCATGTTTCTGATATAATGATGTTAAATAAAGCTTAAAGTTAGCATGATATATGAACTCACCCTCTGTTTCCTTAATCCATTTTATAGATCTAAAAACGACAGACTTTACTCTTGGTGAGATATGCAGGACTTCTCCAATCATTTAGGCTATGTTTACACGATGACGATGTGCTGAAAACTGAAAAGTTTTTCCTTTAAGGCCACGTGTCCACCAAAGAGTTTTTAGCCAGCTGAAAACGCCATGCTTTGAGCACTTGAGAGCATTTTGGCAGTGCAGCCTTTTTCCGTTTAGACGTAACGTTGCTATGATACAGAATATCCGCAGCACAATTTATTGTAACTGATTTCGCAGATAATTTGTTTCATACTAAAAATGTATTTTTCACCCATTTTGTTCGGTTAGATCTGTTGGTTAATGTCCTTGTACAGATAGAATGTTGTGACAGTTGGTCAGTGTGGTTTAATCCCGCCCCTCCTCCACTGTGATTGGACGGCTGGGTAAAAAGTGACAGTGATGAGCGCTGCGTTTTATCCGAAGTTGAACATTTTTCAACTCCCAGCGACCAGTAAAAACGACCAGTGAAAAAAACGCTCAGCCCCTCCTCATTACGCTCATGGCGTTTAAAAACTGTGGCGCTCCTTTTGAAAACAATTGAAAACATACGCCAGGTGCGTGGAAAAACGCTTTGGTGGACACACATCCTAAGTGTATTGCGTTCGAAAACCTTGTCAAAACTATTCCCATTCACACGGATTCATGAAAACGACTAAAAACGCTGTATTTTTCATGCCTGGCCAGTAGTTGGCGATGTCATTTTGTAAAGAAACACTAACACACCTATAGACTGAACACGTATCATGCATGCGCATGACGTCACCGTTTTTGTAGTTTACTCGGAGACAAGAACAGTATCGGTTTCAAAAACTTGCGCTTTGAAACCCGTTTTCAAAAGTTTGTTTTCAGGCCCCTAAACACCGCTGTCGTGTAAATGAATGTCCAAAACGTTTTTATTTGAAAAGTGTCGCGTTAGTCTGTTTAAACCCACCCCATTAAAACTCACATTCATCTGCCTCCATTTTTGAGTGCAACTCCCACATCTAGCCAACAACCGATTATTACAACCAATTCACTTCCCTAGATTTTGATTCCTTCCCGAATAAGCCTTTGTACTGGTGTACGTCACAAAACGGAAGAAAAGATCTGACGCTGCTTCTGTTTCTCTAAATTCAAAACTCTATGTTGTTTGGCCATATCATCATCGTTAATTCCTCAAGACTCTTGTTTTGTGGTTTTTGTTTTTGACGCTCTCGATTCCGAGTCTCCGAGTCCTGGGCATTCAGGCTGCAGTGGTGGTGATGTTCCAACTTCCTCCTCACAGACAGTGTGTGTTCCCACTGTTGGTTTGTGTCAGATCCGTTGAGTGAGATGACAGACTGTGACTGTAGGCATGTTAGTTATGCAACATGATCTTACCTGCGCAGCTTGAGTCACGTCTGGACATGATTTGTGAGGTAATCAGTTGATTGTGGGAAGCTGAGAGGGGTTTTACTCTATATTGTAAAGTAGGGCAGCTAACCTGTGACTGTTTAGCATCACCTGACTGTTTTCGACGATGTCATTGTATTGCTCATGATTTACTGAAGGCAATTTCGGACTTGTCTTGTGTATCATAAATGGAACGTTTCCTCTTTGAATTAGTCAGTCAGTCGTCTGTCTCATGTCGCATTCGGTTTGCTTGCGCTGTGGAAACCGCTCACCATGCCTGACTGCCATCTTAAGCGACCATGTCTGTGTTTACATCGATGTGTAGGCGTTTGGCATTTGAGACACTCTCTAGACTCAGAAAGCGTACAGCGGCCCTCTCAAGCTTTCCCGTGTCTCTCCATGTGAGGTAGATCTTTAATGCTTTTTTCCCTCTCCTCTACCCATGGGCAAAGCTATTTTCCTCATGTCTGCTCACGAGCTCGCCACTCTCTCTGGATCTTTTGTGCTTAAAAATTAGGTCACCCAGTACAGTGCGCATGGTCTTGCCTCACAGGGGAAGTGTATGCTTTATGTTTCGCTGACACAGATCTGGACGATGTGCTTGGTGCTACTGCTGCATATATAGTGCATGAGTCCCAGCGGATGGTTTTACTGAACTTCCATCATGTTAACCTCATCATGTTCCAACGTTTATTTACCTGTCATTCTGTCATCATTCAATCACATTCATGTCATTCCAAACCTGTATGACTTTCTTTTGTTCTGTGGAACATAAACTATGGTGCGTTGAAAAATGTTGTTTTGCGCCCTACTGATTTTCATTGTATACACACAAATAGTTAAAATATCTTATATTCCACAACAGAGAGTCATACAGGTCATAATTTACATTTTGGGGTGAGCATCTAATCAGCTTTTCGGTTTATGCAAATGCATTATATCAGTACTGTATACTAAAACTTAAAAATAAAGTTTTCATAATGGAAATAAAGCTGACAGAAAATAAAATACAAATATTAGATGTCAAATTTAAACTTGAGCTAAAATGAAAAATGTTTGCTTTGGCAACTAACTGAAATTAAAGTTCAAAGACTAATAAAAATGACAAAAGCACATAACAATGATTAAACCTTAGGGCTGTAAAATCAATTAATCGCATTCAAAATTAAAGTTTGTTTATAGATGTGTATAAATAAATATAATTATATTTATATATCTATTATATATTTATTTGTGTGTGTGTGTGTGTGTGTGTGTATAAATTCACACTCGTACACATATGTGATTAATCGATTTACTACAGTTAATATGAAAGCTGAAAATAAAAAAAATACTAATTAAAAAAAATTAATAAATATATAGTTGCATATAAAAATAACACTTTTTATCCATTTGGATTAAATTTCTTGATGAATATGTCATATTTCGCTAAACGACATGAGGTTGTGCATTATGGGAGCATTCCATGTTACCATTTGCATGTTATGGCCACAGAAGAGTGTGTGTGTGTATGCTCAACCTGTTTTGCCAGCATAGAAGAGCTAACATATAATATATAGTTCCTGCCTCACGTGTTTCCCAGTGAATAATTAATGGGTAAACGACTGTTACATCTCAGAGTCATGTCAAGGAGGCGGGGGGAGTCCCAGCTGTAGATGTCAGCCAGTGTTTTTCGTCTTTTCCTTGTTTTATAATTCTGGCCAGCAACATCTGCCTCATGCGCTCCAGGACAGTGTTACTCAATAAAAGCGCA